AGCAGAGGTACCCCGCCGCCGCCAGCATGAGCGCCAGCCGGCACGCGCGCTTGGGCGGCATGGCGGTTCGCGTGGTGGCGGTCAGAGAAGGTGGGGAAGGAGTAGCCGTTCTTCTGGACTGGGTCCGCGGCCGGGGCGGGGCGGGGTGGGTTTATTGCGGACGGTAGGGAAGCGGGGGCGCGGGTCGTGTTTAAAGGCCGGACCGTTGCTGCGGCGGCGGCGGTGGGGCGGTGCAGCGGCTGACAGCGCGCAACGGCTTGTTTCTGCGCCGGTTTGGCTGTATGCCTGGACCGGAGTAGGCTCGTGCCGAAAAGAAAAAAACACGGGAGTGATTTTCTTGGCCACGTGCGCTCGTGCGTGTGCGTGTGCGTCCACGGGAGTGATTTTCTTGGCCACCAAGGAAAGGTGTCGGCGAACCCGGATGGACGCGGAACGCACTGCTGGCTGTGGCTGTGGCTGTGGCTGTGGCTGGGTCGTTCCGTTGCGTTTTGTTGGGGCCGCGTGTGGAGGCGGCGATTGACGGTGTGGCGTGTGGTGGACTGGGCTGGTTGGCCGGCCGGTAGGTTGGTTTGGTTTGAACTCAAACTCGACTCAACGCGGCGGGCGGAGTCAGCTGCGCAGGTACGACTCGGCTCCCAGCCCATCCATCCATCCATCCAGGCGCGTCGTGCACGGTCAGTGTGTGCAGTGCAGCTGTCTGTCCCGCGGGTGGGCGGGAAGGTTCGTCCAGTGTGGCTGCCCGTGTGACATGTGGACCGCTCAGGCTTGCTTCCTCTCTGCGCTCCTGCGTGCGCCCGCCGGCAACGTCGTCTTGAGAGCGTCGCTGTCCCCGCCGTTCGCCCTCCACGTTTGTGCGAGGCGTGATCCCATCAACTCGTGCTTCGAAGCCGCACGCAGCAGGCAGTTACGCGCGCCGGGTAGGCCGCTCGGCACCAGCACGGCGCGACGCATGCTACCGTCGGTGCGCTATGCTATGCCAAGGGCGCGGCCAAACGCGCGCGGCGCGGACCCGGCCAGCCATTCTGCGGATGAGGACCGCCCGATGGACACGTACGTGCGTTGCGAGGCCGGTGCAAACATACGCCGCCACTCCATCGCCCAACCCAAGGCGCGTCACGACCAGGCCCGTTCTAAAATAGTCTCTTCACCCACCGACTTCTTTCTTCAACAAAGAAAAAGAAAACTTCCACACGTACGCCGCCGGCGTCCACGTACGCACCGCGGAGGAGGAGCAGCGCTGTACTGTATCCTAGTCCGAGATTCCTCAACTTGCTCCTCCACCTCAGTAGCTTTCATTTCATCCCGACTTGATCGTTCTGGTACGAGCACGAGAAGAAAGACGGCCACAAGGAGTGCAAAAGGGATCATCTCACAGTTCCAACTCGGAGGACGTGTGGCCGTGACCGTTGGTTTCTTCAGGTCGGATAGATTGAAAGTTTTTTCGCAAAAATAAGTCGGCTTAGAGCATCTCCAACAGACGCTTTACGTAGCCGCGCGCTAAATTTCTTTTACAGCGTTGAAATAGCGTTTTAATGCGCCGGACGACCGAGTATCTTCAATAGATGCCCAAAAATATGCTGCTCAACTAGCAACCGTAACAACCCAACATGCGCCTAAAATTAACCACACGCGCCTGTACCTAACTCGCCCCGCCGCGCTCCGCCTCGTTATGGCCGTGCCGCCTGTGGCCGTGGGCGTGCTCCGCCTCGTCGTGGCCGTGGCCGCGCTCCTCCCAGCCCCGCCACCGCTGTGCCCGCGCTCGCGCCCTCCCGCTCGTGGTCGTGGCCGCGGCCCGCCGCGCCCGCGTCCTCCCGCTCGTGGCCGTGCCCGCATGCTGCCGCTCGTG